TCAACATACTGTGTTCTTTCCCTTGGGATACAGATACTAACCCAGTGCTGGGATGGCTGGATCACACGGCAGTTCTGCTTTATTAAGGAACTCCCACAACAGCTGAAGCAGTGTCCATTCACAGCAACGCTCCAGGGTTTCTCCTTCCTCCATGTGCTTACTCGAACTTGTTATCTATCTGTGTGGATGCTGGGGACTGAACCTGGGTCCTCTGCAACATCAGCAAGTGTCCTTACCGATGAGCCATCTCTTCAGCCCTTATCTCCCCTCTTTTGAACAACAGCTATTCTAATAAGTATGAAGTAGTATCTATCACAGTTTTAACTGTATTTGTCTTCTGAGAACATAGGAAGTAGTGGTTCTTGATCCATTTTGACAACTACAAACATTTTTTTTCTAGACATGTGGTCTTATACTCACTGAGTGGATCAGGCTGGCCTCAAACTCAGACCTCTGCCTGCTGCTGGGATTAAGGGGTGACCCCACAACAGTGCATCCTGTTTTCTTGCTATTGGAGTGAGTTTTAGATAGCAACCTTTTGCCAGATGTTTACTTTCAAATATTTTCTCCCATTCTACAAGTTTCTTTCCATTTTATTCTTTACTTAGATGTCCCAAAGAAGCCTTTTTTGCTTTAGTAATCCTGTTTATCTACTTTTTCTTTTGGTGGCTGTGCTGTTGGTGGCAAATACAAAATCACAATTGTCTTAGACCACAGTCAGAATGCTTTTCCCCCATATTTTTTTTCTCTAGTTTTAATTTCAGCTTTGAAAATGTGAGATGATTTCCAGGTGACTTTTAATATGGTGTGATTTAAGGAACTTATTGTGGACATATACAGGTAGACCCAGTTTCCTAACACCTTTTACTGTTCTTTCTCCATTGTGTGTTCTTGACATTTCTGTCAGTAATCAGCTATATGTAAATGTATGAACTTATTTATGAACTGGAGTGTGCATACTTGGACAAATGAGTATTACTTGGACGACTGAAATGTTTAGGTACATTTTGAAATCAAATGTTGTAGTCTAGGGTGGTTTCAGATTCCGTGTCATTAAGGACGACCTTGAACTTTTGATTCTTCTACCTTGCAAGTGCTTGGGTTTTGGGCATGAACCACCATGCTTTTTAACAAGGTACTGAGCATGGAATCCAGGGACTCATGCAAGCTAAGCAAGCATTCTGCTGGCTAAGCTACATCTTTGGTCCTTGCAAGCCTTGTTCTTTATTATTTTTGGAGCAGGGTCAGGCTGGCCTAGATCTTGCTTTATATCTCAAATTCATGGTCTTCCCATGCCCACCATTTGAGTCCTAGGATTTGAGGTTGAGTCACCATTCGTGTCTCTCCAACTTCATTCTGGCTTAAGCTCACTTTGATTGCTTGTGATTCCATACATATCATAGATGGGTCTGCTAAAAATAGCATTGGAATTATGATTACTTTTGTCATATTGAACCATCCTTGAGGTAATCCCACATGGTTATAGTGAGCTACATTTTGAGTATGCTGTTGAATTTGTCTTGCTAGCATCTTATTTTTTTTTTCATGTGTGTTCATCAGGGGTACTAGCCTGAGTTTTATCTTAGTGATGTCTTTGTTGGATTCTGCCATCAAAATTTGGCAGCATTTCCTTTTTGCTTGCTTTAGAAGACTTGTTGCCAAACCTGATGACTCAAGTTCAATCCCCAGAACCCACATGGTAATCAAGAACTGAACTGACTCCCACAAATGCACATGATAAATGTAGTTAAGAAATTTATTCTAGAAAAAAATACCATTTTCCACAAATGGAAACCTGATCTTCTTAGAGAAACTGCCTATTTCATGGCTAGTGCAGAGGAAATACAAAGATAAGCATGGAATATCTTTGTTTTATAAGAACATGATCAAAGAATGATAAAAATAATGTCAAAAGGACATAGAAACGAGCTTGAGAATTCCCACTGCTCAGACTAATACTTAGAAATAATATCAGTGACAAATTATCAATTCACTGAATAACATGAGAATCCATGGATGGGGTGGGCAGCTTAGTGGCAGTGCTGCTTTGTCTTAGTTGAGTCCTCAACACCACAAAAACAAAACAAAAAACAACAAAGCCCAGGCTACAATTCACATCCATGCAGAACGGAAATGAGAGAAGGCCCTTCCTCTCAGTGGGATACCAATCAATACACGTACAAAGAATGACAGGAGTTAGGAATTGTACTTAGAATCAGTAATGTCTGAGTCAGGTTGAGATCTTCCATGGATTCCAATGTGATGAGTGAAAATCTGGTCTATCTGCAAGGCACTGACTAGAGGGAAAGGAGAGGACAGAAAAACTGGAGGAGTTTGATAGACAATACCTTACCCAATTACCAACACCCACCCCTTGGGGACTGGAAAATTTGGTAAGATACAAGGAGGAAGCATCTTCTCTGTGGTGTTCTCCACATGCCTAAATCTAGTACCAGGCAAACCAGAGCTGAGAGCAGTCTACTAAATAACTGGTCTGAAGTTGTACAACTGCTTCACGAGTGTCAGCATACACTGACTACAAAGTGGGAGGGCTCAATCATGAAGCCTGAGGCCAGACAGCCTGAGGGATGCCTTCAGGTTAGGTAATGGTGGTCGATTGGAGCTCACTTCCTGGTATGGTGGGTGGCCTGTGATTTACAAGATGTCTTCTAGGAATTACACACTATGTATGTACTTGAGATGGTGAGGTGGTGGTGATTCAGCAACTCCGTGGGAAAGTTCCTTTGTACATTTTAGTACTTTTAAGTTTTGAATCATTTTGAAATAAAAAAATTTTTAAGGTATAAAAGTAATTCTTTTTTCATAATAATAATAATAAAAAAAACCCAGACTCTGCCCGTGAGTTTTTATGTTAACTTCATACAGGCTAGGCTATCTGGGAAGAGGGACTCTCAATTGAGAAAATTCTCCCATTGCACATTGCATTGCCTGCAGTGTAATCTTTTTTTTTTTTCTTTTTTTTTTTTTTTTGGTTTTTCGAGACAGGGTTTCTCTGTGTAGCCCTGGCTGTCCTGGAACTCACTCTGTAGACCAGGCTGGCCTCGAACTCAGAAATCCTCCTGCCTCTGCCTCCCAAGTGCTGGAATTAAAGGCGTGTGCCACCACCACCCGGCCTGCAGTGTAATCTTGACTAATGATTGATGTGGAAGGACCCAGCCCACTGTGGGTAGAGCCACAGAGCTCATGGCCCTGGATGCTATACAAAAGCAGACCAAGCAAGCCACATGGAGCAAGCCAGTAAGCAGCATTCCTCCTTGGCTTCTGCTTGAGTTCCTGCCCTGACTTCTGTCAATGACGGAAGTGTAAGAGAAATAAACCCTTTCTTCCCCAAGTTGCTGTTGGTCATGGTGTTTCATCGCAGCAATAGAAACCCTAACTAAGCAAGTACCATTTTAAAACTAGTCATAAAAACTTAGGTCTGGACCGGGGGCTGTGGCTCATGAGTATAATCCAGACACTTTGAGAGGCAGAGGAAGGAAGATGGTAAATTCAAGTCCAGTCCAAGTGACACCCTATCTCTAGTGATCTCCCTCACAAAGCTTACTTCACTCGGTTCATTCTCAAGTGTAGATTTAAAACTAAGACTCAGGAGTAGAAACAGTAGATGAGCTGACTGATGAGTGCTGAGACACAGCCCTCAGGACACGATGACATGACTGTAGCAATCGTGACCTCACGGTACTGCAGATGCCTGCATGGGTAGAGTGGATCTTGGGGCCCTGTCCCTCCCCCAAGGAATTCCTAGCTGTTGATAGATGCTTGAAGGGGCACTGTCTTAAATGTGTGGCTGTTTGTGAGTTCACTATGTTTTACATCCATGCCCACAAAGGTAGTTAATTCCGGTGGGACACAAAACAAAGACATGAAAGTGTGACGGGGTCTTGTAGGGAGGGCTTTTGTTGGGGAGGGCAGGATAAGATGGGGTCAGTGTGCTGGCACAGGCCATGAATCCCAGTGCCTGGAGGAAGAGGCAGGCAGAAACCTGTGAGCTCTAGGACAACCAGAGCTACAGAGAGAAGCCCTGTCTCAGAAACGATACAGAAAAGAGGATGGGGTAAGTGTGACCACTGTGTTATATTCATGTATGAAACTGGCAAAAGTAAATTTAGAAACAAAGAATACAGCCCCAAGTGAAAGAAAATGCTGGTTATCTCTTAGGAATTGGAAATTAAACTTAAGTCACTTCATTTAACTTGCAAAGATAACCAGTTCTCTTACTAGGAAAATTCTCCTCTATCAATCCCTTTTTTTTTCTCTCTCTCTAGCTCTCCAGAGTTGGTGGGTTTTTTGGTTTTTTTTTTGTTTGTTTGTTTTTTTGTTTTTGCTTGTTTTTGTTTCTCTGAAAATAAGCTACAGATTATATTTGCAACAAAGATAACAAAGAGAGCTCATTCTGAAAATGACATAAACATTGCTTCTAATTTAAACAAAACACATAGAAGAGGAACCAAAGTAAGGGAACACTGTGTGAGCAAAGGGAAGCAAACCTTCCTAACCCTGTGTCCTCAGATCCGAAGGACATTTGGAGTAAGAGTCTATAGCCACTGTTTGCCTTTCAAGGAAAGCTTTGTTGGATGTTCCTGACCTCCATGTTTTGGGTCCATTGCATTCAAAACTGAACTTAAAAAAAAAAAAGCCATGTGCACAGACTTTCCCCAAATTATTTAAATCTTATAGCAAAATCTCATCAGAAGCTGAGAAACATTCCATAAAAGTCTTTAGCTTTTCACTTTGTATCGGTTAGGTTCTGTTATCCCCTTTGCGATTTTCTGACAATGAAAACCCTTTGCTATCATTCACACATGATGAAACACACTTTCAAAGGTACAGACTGCCCTTTTCATCTCAATCAAAAACATATTCCTGATATAATACATCTTAAGGATCAGTGTGAATTGTGTGCAAAGATGAGAAATGTGAATAATCAATCAAATCAATGCATCAAAAAAAAGTCAAGAAGTTACACTTGCACTAGCTGATGAAAGTTTTACTTAAATCTAAATTTTATTGAGTTTCTCTTCTGGTATTTTTAATGATGAATTCATCTTCTTCTGGTTCAATGTTTAAGATCTCTCTTCACCATGCCATTACATGTGACAATTATATGAGATCATATAAGACATACATTAGCCATTTCTTGGGGGTGCTACTTGATATCCAAGTTCCCGAAGCCAGCCTCCTGGCTTTGTAAATCTATCTGGGATTCTTGGGAGGCACGGTCATCCACAGGGGCAGCAGGGGCTCCTGACAAGGTTTATAAAAAGGACCCTAGAGACATAACTCCCAAGTTCCATTAACTATCTTTAGACCTGGTTATGAAAGTAACTAAGTGTGTCATTTAACTTTTGTTTCCTTGTTTAGGTAATTAGATATAATGTTAGATATTCCACTTGAAATTAGAAATTAGAAAACATTTGAAATTAGAAAATAATTGAAACACTGGGACAAAAGTTACTGAAGGCACTTGTTTCTCTTACATAAAAGACAAAAGACATAGGCAGTGTCTAGAGTATGTCTCCAGTGATAAGGTGTCACTTGCTTTTGCAGTAGACACATACTGACAATTTTCAATTGTCTAGTAACTTGAAGTCATAAGGACTATGACAAATCATTCCTTAAAGTACTTCTAATAGAAGCTTGATTGAGGGTAATTGGGAAAATATTAATATCAGATTTGCATTTGACATATTAGGATACTACAGGACACTCTTCCACTGAGTCTAGTTGTAACATTTATTCAGATGATCTGAAAGCTTTAGCAAATAACTTTAAAGGTATTGTCTCCTATGGGAGATTATGCTAGAAGTCCTAGCCCTCCTGGCTGACAGTGCCTCCTACTCTATGCCTCTCTAAGTAACAGAATTTGGAAGGAAAATGGTTTGATTCCTCCTATTTTGGTCTTATGGTCATGAGACAGGGAATGAGAAAACATAAGACAGTCTTAGAACAACACAACACAAAATATGTGTACATATAGCTCCTGAGATGCTGCAGTGAACTTTAGGGACAGATCAACACGATCCAAGTGGTTTGGAAGACACCGCCACGGTGGGTAAACAGCCGTTTTCCAGGATATGCCACCTGGATGTCCACATCATGCCAAACGTGAGAGCTAGTCATCCAGAGCAGGTGGCCAGTCAACATCTACAGACTAAAAGGAGGAAAACAAGCCATTAGAACAGAAATTCTGAGCCTGGCAGTGGTGGCCCACGCCTTTAACCCCAGCACTTGGGAGGCAGAGGCAGGTGGATTTCTGAGTTCGAGGCCAGCCTGGTCTACAGAGTGAGTTCCAGGACAGCCAGGGCTACACAGAGAAACCCTGTCTCGAAAAACCAAAAAACAACAACAACAACAAACAAAAACAACAAAAAAACAAAAACAAAAAACACAGAAATTCTGGCAAGCATTTCTGGGGGTAGTTTTACTGTAATGCAATGCTAAGAGCTACAACACTGATGGCCATTTCTGAACTAACAGAGACACAATTACTATTAGGCCTCTAACTCCTAAGAAAAGAAACTGAAAAACTATAATGTCAGTTATGAGTAAAGTATAAACAAATTCAAATTTGGGTAGCCACACTATTTTTCCTCAGAAGTCTCAAAAATGATTGTTCTGACTATCCTTCAGTCTACCATCCTTCTATTTAACATAGCAAAACTGTAGGGCCACATGCTGAGAAATGTGTCATTAGGTGACTCCATCACTGGGCAAACACCATGGTGTACTTATTTAAACTATGGTATGATGTCACTAGGTGACTCTAAGTGGGACCACTATTGGCTAGAATGGCACATGGCTCAAGCAGTCTGTGATTAAATGTGAGGAAGAGAAATACAGAAAATCAGCAGCACCAGAAAACCATCAAGTATCTTCTCATCTCAGAATTCTTCAAGCCAGGTATCATGAAATGTACCTGGAATCTGAGCACTTCAGAGAGAGAGGCAGGAGGATCGAGCTCTCAGCCTATCTGGGCTCCGTAAGATCCTGTTCCACAACATAAATGTAACTAAATGAATCCCATTAGTCTCCACTGCTATCACTGTTCTTGTAAAGTCACAGCAAGCAATCTACTCCAGCCCACATAATCACACTCCAGACACACCAAAACATACAGACTCACACTCTGGGCAGGCCAAACACATCCTATCTTGGTTTCTCTGTCAGACTTTAAAAGAAAGGCTTCACTGGGTGCAGTGTTGAACATCTGTACTCACAGCACCGGGAGCCTGAGTTAGGACAGATCAGTGGATACTAGCCTGAACTACTTGGCAAGTTCTAAGCCAGCCTGGGCTGCATTAAGACCAAACAAAAGCAAAAGCTTAATGTGGCTTACTGACACTCATGCATTCATTAGCATCAAAGGTCACTTCACACTCCAGATTCCCTAACAGCAGAAAAGGCAAGGTACACACAGCACAAAGTCTTCATAAATCGCAAGATGTATATGTGTGGATGCTCATTCATACACACATGTGCCCATGCTACAACACATGATGAGATGAAAGTGGGGTCTCTGCTTCTACCATGAGCATCCTAGGAACTGAATTTAGTGGAACCTTGGCAGTAACTGCCATTGCTGACATGATCCCAGCCCTAAAATCTTTCCATCCAACTCAAGTTTTGAGAGCAGCTATCTCTAAGTTGCCCTGGCTGTCCTGGAATTGTGTAGACCAGAGTGGTCTTCAGCTCAGAGATTCTCAAGTGCTGGGATTAAAGGTATGCACCACTCCCACCCCTACCCGCCTACCCCACCCTGCCCAGCTCTAACATTCTTTACTACACATAACCCTAGCATTTGGAAGTATGGGAGGCACAGTTCCAATTTCCTTGTTTTCTTTAAGGGCTTAACCTGATGCCATCGGTAAATTAGTAAGCAACAGTACCTGATACCAATTAGTAAATTAGCTATATAATCCACAAAAATCGCAAATGGGATCCTGGTTTGTTGTTGTTTGTTTTAATAAGAGTTCCAAAGATAATTCTTTCCAGTATAGGGCTGGAGAAATGCACAATGGTTAAGAGTATCAGCTACTCCTTCAGAGTACCTGTGTTCCATTCCCAACACCCATGGGGTGGCTTGTGACCATTTGTAACCCAGGTTCTAGGGCACCCAGCACCTCCTTCTTAACTCTGGGAGCACCAGGCACACATGTGGTGCACAGACACATGCAGACAAAATACTCACAGACAAAAAGAAAATAAGCCTAAAACACAAAACACCCTCCAAAAAATATGGAGACAGGTAGTGCTACTCGGTTTATTGTCAGAAGACCTAACGTGGCGAAGTATGACTTACAGACGTGCATTTCCCCATAAAATACTTTACCTCCACATCTAGCTCAAGAATGTCTGCGGTCACGTTCATCAGAGAGCCAATGTTTGGCTTGGTTCTCCCAAAGTCTCCGTGTACAAATTCTTTAATGTAGCTATGTCTCTTTAAGGAAAAGATTATGCAGTACCAACTACTTTGGCAAGTAGAAGGGAAAAATAAATAGAATTTTAAAATGTTACAAAAGAGAGGCCATTTCTAAACTCTGACTTGAGAGGTGTATCTTAAAAAATAAACTATGGCAAACTGGTTCCCTCCAGCCTGCATGCCAACATATAACCAAACCTGTTTACATCAAACTTACCAAAGGCCAGAGCCTTTCTCTGAGTCAGGGTGTCATGCAGCCCAGACTACAGAAACGTGGCCTCCTGCTTCCACCTCCCAAGAGAGGGATGGAAACACTGGCAGCCCTGCCCTCAGCCCCAGGCTTTGGGTTTTTTCTAATTAGCTCATCTTAAAGGTTAGGGCATACATTAAACCAGCTATATAATTCCATTTTTTTGTTTATTTGTTTTTGAGACAGCATCTCACCATGTAGACCTAGCCTGAAACTCACTATATAGATCAGGGTGGCCTCAACCTCATAAAGATTTGCCTGCCTCTGCCTCCTGAGTGCGGGGGTTAAAGGCTCATGCCATCATTCCCAATCCAATACTTTTCTTTTTAAGCTTTTGTTTGTGTGTGTTTGTTTTCACCATTTCTATTGTTATCTGGTCCCATTTTTCAATAATGGTAATTGGTATCTACCAAATGATGTTTCCACAAGACCACAAAGAAAGTATCCTCAGTGATGGGGTACCCTGTAATACATTAGTATTAAGATGGAAGAGAAAATTAAAGTAGTAATTTAATCTTTTTAAAAATTTTTTTTAGATGGTTTTTTTTTTGAGACCAGGCTAGCCTTGAACTCACAGAGATTGGACTGCCTTTGCCTCTGGAGGGCTGAGATTAAAGGATCACACCACCACCATCTGTCTAAAAACTAATGTGTATTATTTATGATGCATGTGTGTCTTTTGAGTGTATGGCATCCATGTATGTTTGGTGTTATAGGACTGAAAAGGGAGTGGGAGCCCCACCCCCACCCTTGAGTTATAGGCAATCTTTGTTTGTTTGTTTTGCTTTTTGTTTCTTTCTGTGTTTATACTTCTAGGTGTTTTGCCTTAGAACCACTAAGTAGTAGAGGCTGTCTTGAACATACAGCAACCCCAAGTGCTAAGATTGAAGATAGGACCATCAGAGCCTAGCTAAATTCTTTTGGGAGCTGGTTTTAGCAGCTTTGTTTTCTTCAAATAGGTCTCTACATTCTGAAGGCAATGGTTAAATCTGAAATTTGTTATTAAGATTAGCATTCGGCCGGGCGTGGTGGCGCACGCCTTTAATCCCAGCACTTGGGAGGCAGAGGCAGGCGGATTTCTGAGTTCGAGGCCAGCCTGGTCTACAGAGTGAGTTCCAGGACAGCCAGGGCTACACAGAGAAACCCTGTCTCAAAAAACCAAAAAAAAACCCAAAAAACAAAAAAAAAACGAAAACCAACAAACAAACAAACAAACAAAAAGATTAGCATTCGACAGGACTCTACTGTAGCCCTAACTCTATCCGAAAAATACACCTCTTCTCCATTGTTCACTAAAAAACAGTAACAAAAAAGCAGCAGTAGGTTGCATTAGTAAAACCACAATGGAGTAGAAAGCAGTCCATAGTTAGTACAGGAAAATGGCGGCATCCTCCAGGAGCTGAGAAGCAGCAGCAGCACAGGTTTTCTTACTACTCCCCTACTGTCTGTTTGACTCAAACAATTACCTAGTAACTTCTTTTCCTTAATTCATAATTTCTCTTTAATTGCCATTTTTTTTCTCTGGTTTTCTTCAGAGAAAGCTAGTAACAATAAAGAAAGCAACAGACCAAAAAGCCCCAGAAAAAGCAGTTGAAAGGTGTGGCCCTTGCTCATGCTCATGCTGGAGGGGTACGGCAGAGGGCAAATGGACCTGGCACTGAGCCACAGGAGACCAACAGCGGAAACGAGCTGAGTGCATAAAGACCCAAATACTGCGAAGGTAGCACTACGAGGTAGCTATAGTTTTACCAGTTTTTCTGGGCTAACATATTAAATTAAGTACATGTATGTGGTTGTTTGCAAAAATGTCTTAACAGGTTTGAAAAGGTATTAGTTTCTTCAAAAGACACAGCATTTCTTCTTGGTATGTAAAACTAAAGACAGGACTTGTTTTACTTTGCTTTTATAATCTGAGGGAGGTCATGAAGCTCAGTTAAAGGATATGTACTTATTGTGAATGAGCCCTGGGTTCAATCCCCAATACCAAAATAAAAATAAATTTTAACTTGTGATTTCTTTGAACTCCATCTACAATAACCAAATGTGCTCCAGACAATAAAGATAAAAGAAGCTGCCCACCAGTCTACACAAACCACCCTGGATTCAAACTACAAGATTTAGAAGCTATTTGGAGTAGATAAGCTCTTCCTCCAGTGCAGCTGGGTCAGTCCAGGCCATTCTAGGGTAATACAAAGGAGTATGTGAAGAGGAGAGGCACACTACTTATAGCAGTGCAGAGATGAAAGCTTCTGGGGACTAGCCCTGACTCCTCCCACTCTGGAGAGGTTTGTGTTAGATTCAGAACTCCTTCATACCAATTAGAAGAGATTTATCATTTCATGCTACTGGATCTCTCTCTCTCTCTCTCTCTCTCTCTCTCTCTCTCTCTCTCTCTGTCATATACATAATACATACTTACATACATCATACGTACATACATACATACATACACACACCCCTTAGGAGAGCACTAGGAAAACCAGGCATGGTGAGACATGCCCATTATCCTGGCACTTGGAAGGCAGAAGCAGAATCTTGAGACCAGGGACAGCCTAGGATTCACAGTGAGATGTAGTCTTATAAGAAAGTAAATATTAGACTAAGCCTAAAACACTGACATACTCCAATTAAAAACTCAGTTCTGACCCTAATGCCACAAGTCAGAATATGTTATACACAAATATCAGCTTTGACATGTAGCTATTTAGAACTCCAAGTACCAATCTGTCCTACTTAAAATACAGTCAAATGTTGAAACACTAACACCAACATATTATTGCTTAAGTAAGCAATATGTTGTGTTTCTTTTCCTTTTTCACGAAAGACCAGTATATTAGTTGCAATCAATATGTCAAGAAACACTGGACATGGTAATGTGTCTGTCTGTATTCCTGTTGTGTTCCTGGGAGGCAAAAACAGAAAAGAGCTTAAGTTTCTACAATGAGCCTGCCCAGGCAACACAGTGAGAGCCTGTCTCAACTTTAAAGAAAGTACAATACCACGGTTTCCTTCTACCACCCGTCTAACCAGTTGGGCAAACGCTGGAATACTTAGAGGACCAAATAGGGTTATGAACATGTGACTTGTAAAACATGTAAGGACAGCAAATGAATCAAAAGTACTTCCTGAGTAGATCATATGTTACACAATGGTAAGACACTGTACCGTAGCTGTAGACTCTAAAATTGACATTGAATTGATGGCTACCTCATGGTTTGAAACTCTGCTTTGAAACATAAATCAGAAAATAGACATCAAACAAAGACAGTGTTGATTCTATTCCAAAATATTGAATTAATAATGCAAGTTCTTTTCAAAATATCACAGACCACCTGAGGTGGCACAGGCTTGTAATCCCAGCACTTGGGAGGTGGAGGCAGGAGGATCAGGAGTTCACAGCCAGCCTGGAGTACATGAAATCTGAGGTATATTTAGAACACATTTCAAACAAACAAACAAAACCTCCCAGATCAAATGACCCATTTTTTAGGGCAGCATTAACTATCCTGATCCCATTCTGGTTAGGTCTCTGCAGAGGCAGAAGGATACGTTCCAGCTTGGGTCTTCAAATGCAGACGAAAATGATGCTCATCTAGGTAGTGTGTCTCCATAGAGTGAATGGCCCGAGTTCTCACAGCCAAAGGCCTTCGGTGAAGGACTCGGAGAGGTGTTTTCTGGTCAATCTTTAAGTCCTAGAGGAGGACACATGCAATCACAGTCAGAGTAGCCTCACAGCAAGGCCTGAGCCTGACTTTGTCTCCCATAGCTCACCACAGGAGCTCTCACTGTTGTTGTCAGAGTAGGTGGGATGGCTAATATCAGAACCAGCTGTATCTCCTTAGGCTCTAACTCAATGGGACTTCTCATAGCCTAGATCGTAATCACTCCTTTTCTGAATATTACTACTACCCATACCATAAGAGGGGGGCTCAGAGGGGAATGATCCCGAGGGCTCTCCTGCCTCGAAACTCAACGGATCAGTTGGGATTCTGGGATAGGACTTTGCTAGAAGACAACATTGTTACCTTTGTCTTTTAATGCTACAAAGAGGGCTGGAAGAGAAGCGGCAGGGAGACGGCAGGGCACTGAGTGTCACCTGTGTGTACGGGAAGTATGCACATCTTACGGACAATATACTCCTATTTTGGGGTTTGTTGTACAACAGATTGTATCTGGAAAGGTGCATCAGTGTTTATCGAAATGTTTCAGTTTAGTAAGGGTAACTAAGTCTGTACAGTGACTCACACTCTTCCAGTATTTCTCAGCCCAGAGTTACAAATATAATATCCGCATATATTTTAACAATTCAGATGGTTTACGTCGATACAGGCTGCTTTTTCTTATAATTATATCAAATTAAAGATTTCACCTCATGTTAGACGATATAAATTAAGAAGCAGGGATTCATACTATAAAAGGTCAACTACTTCAAGGTTTTAAAAATAGGTCTTAGGCAAACCAGAAAAGTCGGTTCTTAAGAACTCTAAATTCTCTGCAATTTCTTGCTGGAACAGCTCCTCCTGATTTGCATGACTGTGAGCAGCCGTTGCTCTGCTAAGAAAGGAAAGTCTACATTCCCTTCCAGACACTGCGGACTAGAGCAGGTTCCGACAAAGACCACACTTGAAGGGCATGGAGAGCCACAAAAGCAGGAGTCAACAGTCTCTCCCCACCATGATTCTTGTGACTATAATTCTTATGAGATGAGTGTTTAGGAGGCTTGACTTTTCTCTAGCCAAAAAGACAAATATGCTCAAGACTGAACCATGTGAGAGTTATAATGATGGATATAGGGCCATTCAGAAAGCAGAAACAGCTGGCCTTTAAGCTAGCTACTATTGTCTGGCATGGTGTCACACATCCTTTAATCCCAGCACTCTGGAGGTAGAGACAGATAGATCTCTTGTGAGTTTGAGGCCAACTTGGTCTATATTATGACAGCCAGAGTTGCACAGTGAGTCCCTGTCTAAAAATAATAACAAAAATTAATGGAGCTGGGCAGTGGTGGCGCACGCCTTTAATCCCAGCACTTGGGAGGCAGAGGCAGGTGGATCTCTGAATTCGAGGCCAGCCTGGTCTACAGAGTGAGTTCCAGGATAGCCAGGACTACACAGAGAAACCCTGTCTCGAAAAACCAAAAATAAAATAAAATAAAATAATAATAATAATAAATAAATACCTAGTGAGAGCTCCTCTCCCTGCTTCTGTTTCTTCCCTCTCAGTCACCAGAGCCAATCCCAACACAGCTCTCATCAGCTCTCAGGCCATGTGTCCTTTTTGGTCTGCTTTTCAGACCACAAAAGGAAACCATTACACCCACTCTTAGCACTGGTCTCCCACACATAGAC